ATATGATACCAACATCAAATCATATATCAGACGTCGTCACCCTATCCCCACTGGATTTTGAAGAAACCATAAACAGTATGCCTACGCACTCTGCACCAGGTCCTGATTCTTGGAACTCCATTTTCATAAAGAACTGTAAAAAAAAAATACTATCACAGGCCCTTCACATTCTTTGGAGACAAAACCTAGATACTGGCGTTATCCTTGACATACTAAAAACAGCAGAGATAGCATCACTCCATAAAGGAGGAAATCAGGAAGAGGCAAAAAATTACAGATCGATAGCACTAACATCGCGCATCATAAAGATCTTTGAGAGAGTGCTAAGAGGTAAGATCACAAAATACATGGAATCACAGCATCTCCATAACCTTGGACAACAACGTTTCAGAACAGGGCGCTCTTGCCTGTCACAGTTGCTGGACCACTATGACATGGCATTAGATGCTATGGAAGACAAACAAAACACTGATGTAATTTACACAGATTTCGCAAAAGCCTTTGACAAATGTGTCCATGGTGTTATTGCACATAAAATACGTTGAAAAGGAATTCGCTTAAAAATAGGCAGATGGATCTACAATTTCCTGACTAAGAGAACTCAATTTGTAATAGTCAACAAAATAAAATCCGGTCCATCAACCGTGAAGAGCTCAGTCCCCCAGGGTACTGTGTTTGCTCTAGTACTTTTTCTCATCCTCATATCGGACATAGACAAGAACACAATCTATAGTACTGTACAACCCGTTCTCTTACTTGCTTATAGTCAATATCTTGCTTATGAATAAGTGCATATGTGACATACTAATTTATTGTGAGTATTTGAGTTTACCTTGAAAAGCTGAATAGAAAACCACAACCTAACCTAACCTTCTTAGCACGTTAAGATATTACAATTAGTACTGAACCTATACTTATATTGATATTACAGTTTTATAAAAATAATAAAACAAAACTAAAATATTTAAATAAATTGTAAAGTAACTCAGGGTATTGTCAAATTTTGTATAAAATCTCTATTGTTTAATAAAACTGAGAGCAAAAGTTAGTGCCTTGAAAAAAATATCGCACATATATACTTATTTATAAACGAAATAGTGACTATAAGCAATAAGTAATATGTGTGCTGTTTTGTGCGAGAGCAGGTTGCACTGTATCATCCTTTGCAGATGACACTAGGATTTTCATGAGGGTAGACAACATAGAGGACACGGTAAACCTCCAATCAGTTGTAAATCCGGTCTTTCTATGGGCTACAGAAAATAATATGGAGTTTACATGAGACCAGAAGGCATGGCAGGATGTGCAAAATACTCCCGTTGAAAAGTAGAGGTGCAACAGGTACTCTGAGAGAGAACTCTATTAACATCAAAGGCCCGAGACTGTTCAACACGCTTCCACTACACATGAGGGGCATAACTGGCCGACCCCTCGAAGTGTTCAGGAGAGAACTGGATAAGCACCTCCAAAGGATACCTGATCAACCAGGCTGTGACTCATACGTCAGGCTGCGAGCAATCGCGTCAAACAGCCCGGTTGACCAATCCAGCGACGAGGAGGCCTGGTCGACGACCGGGCCGCGGGGACGCTACGCCCCGGAAACACTTCAAGGTAAGGTATAGATACCCACAATACCCTCATATCTAGGTACCCCACAATACCTCATCTTGAGACCCGCAAATACCCTCAAGGTACCCACAATACCCTCACCAAGGTACCCACAATACCCTCAAGGTACCCACAATACCCTCCATCGACCCACCATAAATCACATCTATGTAAAAATAAAGTCAAACTTTTCCACTTTTATATGATAGGGTCAAACTCATGTTCTTAGAGGCGTGTAACTTGGCCCCCATTTATCAGTGGGGAGCCTGCTGGTGTGTGGCTGATTAGCAGGGGTGTTGGGGGAGTAGTGGAGGGGTGAGGAGGTCGGGTGAGGGAGCGAGGAAAAGGTTGGAAATGAGATGATTGAGATATATAGATGGAAAGCCCTGCTCTTGTGCTAGGTAAGTCCACTACGGGCTCACCCTAGCCCGTGCTACCGGGAACGTTTGATTCCGAGTTGCTGAATCAAAGACAACAATATATATATATATATATATATATATATATATATATATATATATATATATAGAACGCAGCCTACATATATATATATATATATAGAACGCAGCCTACATATATATATATATATATATATATATATATATATAGAACGCAGCCTACTATGCAAAGCCCGATTTGCCTAATAAGCCAAGTTTTCATGAATTAATTGTTTTTCAACTACCTAACCTAACTTTTTCGGCTACCTAACCTAACCTAACCTATAAAGATAGGTTAGGTTAGGTTAGGTAGGGTTGGTTAGGTTCGGTCATATATCTACGTTAATTTTAACTCCAATAAAAAAAATTGACCTCATACATAATTAAATGGGTAGCTTTATTATTTCATAAGAAAAAAATGAGAGAAAATATATTAATTCAGGAAAACTTGGCTTATTAGGCAAATCGGGCCTTGCATAGTAGGCCGAGAAGTGCGTTCTGGCTACTAGGAACGACATATATATATATATATATATATATATATATATATATATATATATATATATATATATATATATATATATATATATATATATATACAGAGAGAGAGAGAGACAGAGTAAAGATTCTCTATCATTTAAGATCATTTTATTTAACTTGTAAAATGTACAAACTAGCCGAACACATATGCCAGACCAACATAGCCCCTCTCTCTCTCTCTCTCTCTCTTTCTTTTATCTAGATGGCCTTGAGCTGCCGCGGGAATCGACCCAGGAACCTTTCGGTTGTGAGGTGACTGCGCTGACCACTACGACAGAATACCCCTTATTTCATTATAAGATACCTAGGGTGGACGAAGGTTCAGGTGGCAGTAATGGCCATCATCCTCCGTATCGCAACTACTCGATGCAACGCCATTGTCATCAAACATAACAATTCTCTCCATCCGATCCGGCCGGGTAAACGTTATCGTCAAAAAATAGTTTCAATTTTATTCAGGAACTCTGTCCAGGCGGAGAGTGTCAGCTTAACATGTATCCTGGCTAGAGTACCTCCCATACAAGCTCCAGGAACACTGAAGACCTTGTCCTTGACGCTCTGCTTTACCATCTGTTAACACGAGTAGTTCCGAAGCTTGTGGGGAGTGTTGGGGAGCCTTCCGTTGGTATCAACACCACTGGTGAGCCTTCCGGTGGTGTCAACACCACTGGTGAGCCTTCCGTTGGTATCAACACCACTGGTGAGCCTTCCGGTGGTGTCAACACCACTGGTGAGCCTTCCGTTGGTGTCAACACCACTGGTGAGCCTTCCGTTGGTATCAACACCACTGGTGAGCCTTCCGTTGGTGTCAACACCCTTGGTGAGTCTTCCGTTGGTGTCAACACCCTTGGTGAGCCTTCCGTTGGTGTCAACACCACTGGTGAGCCTTCCGATGGTGTCAACACCTATTGCTCCATGCGAGGCAGCTCTTATTTAAATCTAACCAAACCCAGATACATGTCTAGCCAACGCTTGAAACACTTCAAGTACGAGAAACTCTAGAGAAAACTAAAGAAACGAGAAACTTCAGGTACGCTGGGTATTTCCTGAATATTGTCGTGTAATTTTCAAAAACATGCCAGTGTTCAGAGGTGTATTTTTTTCAACCAAATCTGTCGAGAGTCACAGGTGAGATCTTCTGGGAGTTCTCTAGAGTTTGTTCTTCACACAAGTGGTGGTCCAGTGTTCGAGTGTTCTAGAGCCCAGGGGAATGTACTGTTCTTCACACAAGTGGTGGTCCAGTGTTCGAGTGTTCTAGAGCCCAGGGGAATGTACTGTTCTTCACACAAGTGGTGGTCCAGTGTTCGAGTGTTCTAGAGCCCAGGGGAATGTACTGTTCTTCACACAAGTGGTGGTCCAGTGTTCGAGTGTTCTAGAGCCCAGGGGAATGTATTGTTCTTCACATTATGAGTGTGTAGTAGAGAGGGTTGTTGTGGTAGTACTCGTGTTCATACCGACCTTACGTGTTCACACTATGGAGCCTAAGGTGGAAGTTATGTTCAGAGATGCTTCACCTGGCAGGGTGTTAGGGTCAGGTGTTCCCAACTGAGTGTGTGAGGCTCTGTTACAAGCCTCGACCTTCATCCTGTCACTCTCTAGGGTGGGGGAGGTTGTTGTAGGGGGCCATAAGGGTGTTTACTATATGCATGATATGTATGTCACAATCTTTCTCTCTCTCTCTCTCTCTCTCTGTCTCTGTCTCTCTCTCTCTCTCTCTCTCTCTCTCTCTCTCTCTCTCTCTCTCTCTCTCTCTCTCTCTCACACACACACATTGTATTACCCCACAACCTGTTATTACTCTCATAACATGTTATTTATCTGTTGGAAATATTTGTTGTGGACTTCAAAACAAAAATCAACATTTTTCATGGTGGACTTCAGTACCGAGATGTATTATCGGGATTCAAAACTTTAATTGTGTAATTTCCAAGCTTTCTCTCCTGTTCCTGACTCTAACCACTTGGGCTGGACGGTAGAGCGACGGTCTCGCTTCATGCAGGTCGGCGTTCAATCCCCGACCGTCCGAGTGGTTGGGCACCATTCCTTCCACTTCCCATCCCCCCCCCTCCCCCCCCCCTCCGTCCCATCCCAAATCCTTATCTTGACCCCTTTCAGGTGCTTTAAGGTCTAATGGCTTGGCGCTTTCCCTGATAGTTCCCTTCCCTTCCCTACCTGTTGGAGCCTGCAAGAACAGTTCCTTAAGCAAATATTTAAAGGATGGGTAATGAATTAGTGAGTCAACAATTCTGCTTTATGTTCTCGCATCTGTGAATTATTGTTCTCTGGAGGAACTTGAGGCCACGTGTGTTGTGGGACTAGAGTATCAGGAGGCTAACTGGGCTGGCAAACGTCACGTGGTTTACACAGACAAGAAAAGATGAGGTCGTTGATGTGGAGAAGAGGAGCAAGACTTACCTTGATGTGCAGACCGTGCTTGTGCGCCAGCTTGAGCAGGATCTCTCTCACGCTCTTCCCTTCAAGCTTCGAAATGATTCTTATCACTTTATCGAGGTCGTCCATGTTGAGTATGGTGGCTATGTCTTGTGCGGTGCACGGGAGGGAGGAGGAGGAGGAGGACTGGGGGTAGACGTGTGCGGGCGAGGAGTCTGAGGCAGCCGCAGGAAGGTGGGTGGATCTGGTAGCAACTTCCATTCTCTCGTCGTCGACCAGTCGTGGGTCTTGGTATTCGACGACAGAGTTGTGTGGGAGGTACTGGACGGAGGGGAAGTCGTAGAGAGGGTAGTCGTTACCTTCAGGAGGGAGCAGGAGCGCCAAGGAAGGAGGAGGGACCACCGCCACCAGGAGTAAGGGCAGGAGAGCGGACACAAACATGGTCCACAAAGTGTTCTTTGCGCGAGGTAGTGAGGAGAGGGCTGAGATGCCCCTTGGCTGGGAATATCTCTCTCTCTCAGACCCTGTGGTTCTCTCTCAGTCTTCCCTAAGCAGAACTTCAGTGTCAGAGTTTCCTGCACGTGCGCGCCTCTTTCGTAAACCACAGTCTGAGGGTTATTTCATGTTGCTGATTTATTGACAGTAACGTTAGGTAACTATTGCACTGCTTGCAACACGCGAGGCGCTCCCTCTCCTCAGAGTTATAGCAGCATCTATTATACAGCAACTAACTATTCTTCTGTTTGCATAGAGCCAAAAGTAACTATGGTGTACTAGTGTGTTAATCTGGCGTCATATGGGCTCCGGGGGCCGGGCCATGAGTAGCAGCTGAGTGACCAGGACGAGTGAGTGTAGGGGTGAGAGCGTGACCGGAGAGAGCGGGGAGCGTGTGTAGTCGACCGCTAGCGTGAGGTGTATGGGGGCGGGAGTGTCTCCTGCTGTATATATATCCCGCCTCCACCCACACCGGCGCGCGCCGCACCTCCACACCCGCCTGCCTCCATTCATTCAGCTGCAGGAGACGCTGCAGGAGGGACCAGAGGCCTCACTACTGCCCTTACCTCAGGCAGCGTCCAGGTCCTGGCGCGGACTGTGCGTGGAGCTCTTACAGCGTGTGCTCACCTGCATGTGTTTTTAGGGTCGAGCTTCACCACCTAAGCCCCGCCTTGTCAATCTGACTGGCACAACTATTCTCTAGCGTTTCTTCTCATACTCACTTAAAATGAGTATAGAGTCAGCTTTGGCTTCTACTTCAACTATTATCCCATTAAAAAACTTCTGTCTTACATAATTCGAATAATAAAGATACTTTTGGTCGGGGACAGGAAGCCTGTGGATATTTATATACTTTAGACTTTACTAAGGACACCTCCCCACAAGGTGGAACTACTGACCCTCCCCAGATGCCGCTCCACAACACTTGCCTACCTCCCAGGCGCCCATTTACTGTTAAGTGAATAGGTAAAAGGAAACGTGCCCAATCGTTTCTAACCCGACCGGGAATCTCGACTGTGAATAAAAAATAAGCTAAAGTGTGACTTAATTATGTCTCTAGTTGCCATCTGTGTTCTACTGTTATTCAGTCTGATGGTTGCTTTTTGTATACGTTATCAACTGTTCCCAACCTTGCATGTCTCTAGTGTTCCTCGCGTGTTCTTGCTTGCCTCTAGTGTTCCTCGCGTGTTCTTGCTTGCCTCTAGTGTTCCTCGCGTGTTCTTGCTTGCCTCTAGTGTTCCTCGCGTGTTCTTGCTTGCCTCTAGTGTTCCTCGCGTGTTCTTGCTTGCCTCTAGTGTTCCTCGCGTGTTCTTGCATGTCTCTAGTGTTCCTCGCGTGTTCTTGCTTGCCTCTAGTGTTCCTCGCGTGTTCTTGCTTGCCTCTAGTGTTCCTCGCGTGTTCTTGCATGTCTCTAGTGTTCCTCGCGTGTTCTTGCTTGCCTCTAGTGTTCCTCGCGTGTTCTTGCATGTCTCTAGTGTTCCTCGCGTGTTCTTGCTTGCCTCTAGTGTTCCTCGCGTGTTCTTGCTTGCCTTTCGTTCGACTCCCGACCTCAGCTTGTATGGTGACACTGGCTTCATGTCTCTCCAGGACCGCCGTGATCGCTACTGGCTTCGCTATCTTGCGCGGTCCTTGCAACATCCTTCCTCTCGCCTCTGTCGTGCTTTGACTCTTACCCCTCCTGTAGCTCCCGTTCCTCTTCACCACCTCCCTCTTTCTGTCCGGCTGTCTTGCTTACAGGTCTCTCTTTCCGTTTGTATTTCTAATGTGTCTCCTCGTATTATTCCTTCCTTGCCCCCGTGGAGAGTCCCCCTTCTAAAATTTTGTACTTCTCTGACCTGGATCACTAAAGCTTTTACCCCGCCTACAGTTCTGAAATGCCTTTTCTTGAGCACTTTTCTTCACACTCCCGCTCCGTTCCCATCTTCACCGAATGGGTCTAAGTCTGTGGACGGTGTGGGCTACTCTGTTGTTTTTCCTGACTGCACTTATATGTATCGCCTCCCTTCAGAGACTAGCATCTTTACAGCGGAACTTTATGCTATTCTCCATGCTCTCTGTCTCCTGCTTTCTCGTTGTCAATCCTCCTTTGTGATTGTAGTTGACTCTCTTTGTGCCCTCATGGCTCCTGGGTCCTTTAATCCTGTCCATCCGGTGGACGTCGAGATTCAACATACGCTGTTTCTTATCTCTAGTAAATTTAAATCCGTAGAGTTTTGCTGGGTTCCCAGCCATATTGGTGTTTCTTTAAATGAGCGTACGGATGCTGCTGCTCGGGAAGCTATCCGCTCTTGTTCCATCTCGCATAAAGGTATTCCTTATTCCGACTTTTACCCGGTTATCCATTCCTCCATCCTTGCCCATTGGCAGGGTTGTTGGTCTTCTGTTGTTGGCAAGAAAATGTGTGCTCTTAAGCAATGTGTGTCCTCATGGCTGTCCTCCTGCCAACGTAACCGGTGGTGGGACACGGCTCTAGCAAGGTTGCATCTTGGTCATACTCGCTTAACTCATGGTCACTTAATGGAGCGCCGTCTAGCTCCTTATTGTCTAAATTGCATTGTCTCTCTTACAGTCATGAATATCCTTGTTGAATGTCCTGACTTCCAGGACGAGTGTGTGTCTTGCTTTTCGCCCGTCCCTCGCGGTCACTTGTCCCTCGAATGACTTCTTGGTGAATGGGATACTTTTGATATCGTTTGCCTTATGCGTTTCTGTTCTCGTATTGGCATCCTTGGTGATATTTATCGCCCTCTGATTATTCCGCACATTTGATGATGCTACATAACCTTCCAGGTTTGGTGCCTTTTGATAATTACTTACTTATTTCAAGTTCATTAGAATGACATTTGGGGGTCAATTCTATAATAATTAAAAAAAAAATAATAAAGCATTACATATTTGTACTTTTGAACAAGTAGTTTCTTACGTACAATGATTTTGGGAGTCTGAGTTGTTTTTTTCGTCCCAATGTCTGGCTCGTCCCTGGCTCGTCCCAGTGTCTGGCTCGTCCCAGTGTCTGGCTCGTCCCAGTGTCTGGCTCGTCCCAGTGTCTGGCTCGTCCCAGTGTCTGGCTCGTCCCAGTGTCTGGCTCGTCCCAGTGTCTGGCTCGTCCCAGTGTCCGGCTGCCTGTGCGTCTTCATCTGTTTAATAATCATAACTTACAATGTTCTCACTCTGAGGTACTCATTCCTGGCTCTCTGGTGTCTTCCCATGCACCGACGGACCAACGCACCGACGGATCAACGCACCGACAGACCAACGCACCGACGGATCAACGCACCGACGGATCAACGCACCGACGGACCAACGCACCGACGGATCAACGCACCGACGGATCAACGCACCGACGGATCAACGCACCGACGGACCAACGCACCGACGGATCAACGCACAGACGGACCAACGCACCGACGGATCAACGCACCGACAGATCAACGCTCCGACGGATCAACGCACCGATAGATCAACGCACCGACGGACCAGTGCACAGACGGATCAACGCACCGACGTACCAGAGCAACAACGGACCAACCCACTGACGGACCAAGACAGCCGGTCGGCCGAGCGGACAGCACACTGGTCCTGTGGTCCCGGGTTCGATCCCGGACGCAGGACCAACGGACCAGAGCCACAACGGACTAACGCAGCGGGAGGACCAACGGACCTGAGCCACAACGGACCACCGCAGCGGGACGACCAACGGACCAGAGCAACAACGGACTAACGCAGCGGGAGGACCAACGGACCTGAGCCACAACGGACCACCGCAGCGGGACGACCAACGGACCAGAGCAACAACGGACTAACGCAGCGGGAGGACCAACGGACCACCGCAGCGGGACGACCAACGGATCAGAGCAACAACGGACTAACGCAGCGGGAGGACCAACGGACCAGAGCAACAACGGACCACCGCAGCGGGACGACCAACGGACCAGAGCAACAACGGACTAACGCAGCGGGACGACCAACGGACCAGAGCAACAACGGACTAACGCAGCAGGAGGACCAACGGACCAGAGCAACAACGGACCACCGCAGTGGGAGGACCAACGGACCAGAGCAACAACGGACCACCGCAGCGGGAGGACCAACGGACTAACGCAGCGGGAGGACCAACGGACCAGAGCAACAACGGACCACCGCAGCGGGAGGACCAACGGACCAGAGCAACAACGGACCACCGCAGCGGGACGACCAACGGACCAGAGCAACAACGGACTAACGCAGCGGGACGACCAACGGACCAGAGCAACAACGGACTAACGCAGCGGGAGGACCAACGGACCAGAGCAACAACGGACCACCGCAGCGGGAGGACCAACGGACCAGAGCAACAACGGACTAACGCAGCGGGACGACCAACGGACCAGAGCAACAACGGACTAACGCAGCAGGAGGACCAACGGACCAGAGCAACAACGGACCACCGCAGTGGGAGGACCAACGGACCAGAGCAACAACGGACTAACGCAGCGGGAGGACCAACGGACCAGAGCAACAACGGACTAACGCAGCGGGAGGACCAACGGACCAGAGCAACAACGGACCACCGCAGCGGGAGGACCAACGGACCAGAGCAACAACGGACCACCGCAGCGGGAGGACCAACGGACCAGAGCAACAACGGACCACCGCAGCGGGACGACCAACGGACCACCGCAGCGGGACGACCAACGGACCACCGCAGCGGGACGACCAACGGACCAGAGCAACAACGGACCACCGCAGCGGGAGGACCAACGGACCAGAGCAACAACGGACTAACGCAGCGGGAGGACCAACGGACCGAGGTGCTCCAGACTGCTCGTGCAAGTGACGTAGTTAACAGTTTTGCCAACATTAGTAATAAAGTTTGTGGAGTATTTGCACATGTGTCAGTAACAGATGACTATTATACACCTGTCCTCGGAGTGTGGACCTTGACTGTATGAACAAGTGCTCGGACTACAGGTGTTCAAGACAGGTGTTGGGAACAGTGTGACGAGAGAAGCACCAATCACCACCGTCACCTACAGGTGTTCAAGACAGGTGTTGGGAACAGTGTGACGAGAGAAGCACCAATCACCACCGTCACCTTCAAATCACTGTAATTACCGACATTTAATTTAACAAATTTTAAATATAAAATTTTAATTTTAAAATTTTAAAAATATTTTAAAATCAATTTTAAATTTTAATTTTCATTAAATTAATTAATTTAATTAATTAAATTAATTAATTAAATTAATTTAATTTTAATTTTAAAATTTTAAAAATAAAAAAAAAAATTCAATATACGGTTATTTTATCATGACGTTATCTTGAGATGATTTCGGGGCTTGGCGTCTCCGCGGCCCGGTCCTCGACCAGGTTTCCTGTTTGTTACACATCCCCCAGGATGCAGCACGTAGCAGCTCTCT